GAAATTCCCATGGCTCCCACGTATCCCCTCAGCTCCCACGGGTCCCCACATAAACCTCAAGATTTTGTCCCCATGGCCTCCAAATGTCCCCACACGTCCCCACAGCTCCCTGATGTTCTCAAAGCTCCTGAGGGTCCCTGTGACCTCCTCGGGTCCCCGCGGGCTCCCGCAGCCCCCCGAAATGTCCCCGTGGCACCCTTGGGTCCCCGTGGCACCCGTGGGTCCCCGTGGCACCCTTGGGTCCCTCCAGCCCACAGAGATTCCCGTGGTCCCTGCGGATCCTCACAGACTCCCCGTGTCCCCAGAGCCCTGGGGTGTCCCCATGGTCCCACAGGTGCCCAAATCCCAAATCCCTCAGGTCCCTTCCCTCGGCTCATCCATGCCCACGCTCCCTGCGGATCCTCAGGTGTCCCCTCGTGCCACCCTGGACCCGTCCCCGTGCTGGGACACTGCACAAACTCCAGCAGCAATGGGGGATTTGGGGGTTTTGGGACAGGGACCCTTTTTTTGGCCAGCCTTCAATCCCTCTGCCCTCCCCTCTGGGTGCCCCTGCACGTGGAAGCAAAACTGGCTCAGAAAAGGAAACGGTTTACGGCTTTTTGTTTATTTTCAAGGGAAAAAAATAATAATAATCACATTTAAATTGCAACTCAGTTGGGTATTTCATGTGGTTCTTGTGTATAGGATGAATAAACTTTGTTCTGATGTGGGGATTTCTCTGTCACAACGCTCTGCATGGTAAATAATTGCATATTTGAGAGTCGGTGAACTCGGTGAGGGGGAGGATGGAGGAGAGACATTTATAAAAAACAGTATTTACAAAAAATGATATCCACATAGTCGTACTCTAATCTATAAGGCAAGTAACATTTAAAATATGTTGTTTCATGATTATCTTCAACAAGTCAATACAACACATTCATATTACCAGTGGTCAAATACAAAGCTTCGCTGCAGTAGTCCCTGTGCAACAAACCTGTACGTCTTTTATAGGTTGGTTTTTTTGTTTTTTGTTTATTTTTTTTTCTCTGAGAACAGTAGGAAAGCAGCAAAGTTTTCATCACAGACTAAGCAGTACCTAGGCCGTCGTAGACTAAAGGTATAATACATCTCATTGCACGTTTAGGCAGGAAAGGCCAGCCATTCGTTAACTTATTTAACTTAAATCTTAAAAATAGACCTGTGTATCTTCATCCACAAATATTTATAAACATTTTATACACGGGGGAGTTCGTTAAGTGGTCCAGGGTGGTCCCTGGGGGTATCTGAGTCACTGCTGGGGTGGCACAGTGGCCTTGTCCCACATCCTGGGCCCTCCTCCCGCCAGCCCTGGGAGCTCCCGGCCACCCCAAAGCAAATCCCAGCTCAGCCCACGCCACATCTCCCTTTGTTCCAGCTCATCCAAGCAGCAGCCTTGGAATGTCGGGAGGGAAAAACCCCTTCCTGCGTGGATGAGGAGCCCGACGTGATCCCAGCACACCTGGGATTGCTGGGGGGTGAACAAAGAACCCCCAAAATCCCGCTGGGGGCTGGGGTGTTCCACCAAATCCTGATTGTCCCCAAAATCCCACGGGGGGCTGGGGTGTTCCACCAAATCCTGATTGTCCCCAAAATCCCACGGGGGGCTGGGGTGTTCCACCAAATCCTGATTGTCCCCAAAATCCCACGGGGGGCTGGGGTGTTCCACCAAATCCTGATTGTCCCCAAAATCCCACGGGGGGCTGGGGTGTCCCACCAAATCCTGATTGTCCCAAACCTCTGAAGAGCATCTCCACCACCCTCGTGGCTCCAAGAAGCACGGCCAGCAGCACCACCCTCCCAAAGGGACAAGGGGAGCCAGGCAGGAGCAGGGAGAATTCCTGCCAATCTTTCCCTTGCCTTGCAGTGGAAGAAGAATGAAAATCCTGACTGGAATCATCCCAATTAACATAAAACCTCCCTGGCTCTACACGGGGAAATCGTGAGGAAAAGAGGAACAGAAGAATTCTGGGAAGGGAAATCTTTGAGACAGTCATTCCTAACCTGGGAAGTGCAGCAGGATTTTTTATGTATTTTTTTACGTATTTTGGTCATGACAAGCTTCAAAATTGGGGGTTTTAACTGAGATATTTTCACATGAAAACCACAAATGGGTAGGGGAAAAAAAAATGTTTGACTCTCTCTTAGGCAAATTAAAAATCTGACACCTTTTCAGCGCACTCCAGCCATTTAAAAATGCTTCTGCTGGGAATAAGAGGTGGTGACTTTTTTTAGGATGCTCCTGCTGGAGGGAGAAGCCCGGGAAGGGTGGCAGGGGGGCTGTACCTTCCCTTCCCTTCCCTGCTCTGCCTGGCCACAGAGGGAGGAATTCCAACAGAAACTGGCAGGGTTTCCCACTTTATATTAAAAAAAGAACATGATAGATAAAACCTGAAAGGGCAGAGTGAAGGGAAATTAATTTCACTGGAATTCTGAATGACAACAGAACCAAGAAGATGCAAACAGGGCAGTGACATTCAAGAACAAATGCAGACACCAAATGAAAATCTCGTTATTTGGTGGTTTTTTCCCCGACTAGTGAGAGATTTCAGGCTAAAGCCTTTCTGTTCATGCATTCACATTTTTACAATTTACAATTTATTTACCCTGCTGGTCACCCAGAGGGATCCTGGTGCTGCTGAGCCCAGCGGTGCCAGGGCTGGGCAGTGCCAGGGGGCTCAGCCCCTCTCCAGCTCAGCCTGGCTTGGGAAACAGAGCTCTGGGAATGCTGCAGGGCTGGAGCCAGGCTGGGAGAGCTGGGAATGTTCCCCTGGAGAGGAGAAGGATCCAGGGAGAGCTCAGAGCCCCTGGGAATGTTCCC